GGAGTTTGGGAGGTCGGCAATGAGTTTGTATTTTGTGGATCTCGGCTTAAGGTAATAGATGTAGTCATTTTCTGACTTCAGGCCACACATGGTGTAACAGTATTGGATGTCGACTAGGGTTATCCTAGCGTTTTCTCGGCTAGCTAGGGCAATTATGCTGTTAATGACTCTGTAAGAGTTAATGGCTAGTTGCATTGGGTTAAGTTTGTAGTAATGAAGGACTTGGAAAAAAAGGATATCGAGAGGGAACCTAAGTCCGCACTCTATAAAGGCGACTACTAGGAAGGGCATGAAGTTGTCATTGGGCATGATGGAGTCCTCCTCCCCTGCCAACCTAAGGTTTACATCGGCAATGATAGAGAACTCTCTCCTAAAGTGATCGAGCTTTTCTAAGGTGTCCACCCTCCACCTAAACATACCCATGATGACAGCTAAAGGGGGAGGATGTAAGATTTTGGAAGGAAGCGGTTTGTGTGGGTTTAAAGGACCTCGGCTGAATCCTAGGGAGCACTGGAATGAAGGTTTCTAAGGATCTAAAGGGATTTTAGTTCGGTTTTCCTAAATGATAGGGTTCTAAATCAAATCCCAAGCTTAAATCTACGGAAACAAGAATTGAGGGCAAGAATCTGGAAATAAAGCAAGAAAAACAGGAAGAAAACACAATGATTCAGACTCAAGGAAACCAATAGAAATTCAAGAACATTGTACGAAGTGTGTGTAGATGTGCAAAGTCAAGTACAGTGGCAAGATAAACAAGTGTGTGAGTGGAATGTGTGTAAATATACCCAGAAACAGATTGGACAGAAGCAAAATCATAAACAAACATGATGGAATTTAGGATACAAATGAAGATTCAAAGAACGTGAATAGGTTCGCAACAGCAGTGTACAAAACGTAACAAAGTTCGAAGTAAGTCAAAAATTGAAAGGAATGGAACAGTGACTTACCGAAGAAAATGGTGCCGGTGTGAGGTGCGCCAAAGTCAGACGACGATGGTAAATGGAGCGGAGCGGTGAATGCTTCACTGAGAGGGATGAACGGAGCAAGATGCAAAGCTTGAGAGCTTGAACAATGGCAGTTTGGAAGCAAGAAACTGTAGAGAGAGAAGGCTTGAGCGAAATCAAAGATGTAAAGTGAAAAGACGGAAAGAGGGGAAGCATTTTTGTCATATGGAGCCGACGTGTGACGACCCCAGTAATAAAGGGTAAAACAAGTTTTAGTCGACGGACTATGTGAACAAGTGATATAGGTTCCATCACTTCAGGATGCCAAGATAATAGAATCTAGGGGGCAGTTGTGGGGGCATATTTTTGTGAATGACAACACGTAGCCAAAGTGGCACCAAAGTTCCAACCGAGGTGCCACGTGGTTATGGCGCTGAGGTGATCTCGGCTAGGCCGAGATTGTCTGCGAAGATACTGGAATTTGAGGTGAACGGATAATCTATAAAAGTCCTAGAATAGAGGAGGACCTCAACCTGGATAATGATAAAGCTCTTAGGGGGTTCATCTTTATCTATTGGAGAGTCCAGAATGAGCATTGAGCCAGAGTCCAAGAGAAGCTAGGCTTCTAGAGGAATCAAGTTAGTGTTGACTATAAAAGTTAGGCACCCTTGTACGTTTTTGTATTCTGGCTAGTGAATTAAGCACTGTTTGTTATCTTTGAGAGATAATTGAGTACTGACTTGATCGTCGGAGTGTCTCTGGGTGGATGAACCACTGCCGAATTCTTATCTTTCTGTGGCAGGTTGTTCGGGTTTAATCTATTATGCCGGTGCTCTCTAGATAAGTACCTGCTAGGCAGTGTGGTCAGAAATCAACACCTACAGTTTGTTTTCTCTGATTCTCTTCGTAATTATAATTGTTATGGACACTACTATTGTTAAGCTCTGTTTAAAACGATTATTTTATAATTTTTATGTCACTTTCAACTATCATCCTAGACAGTTGACCATCAATCATTTTTGACTATCGACAATCATTTTCGGCCACTACACTTCTCATGACTATTAATTATCTATCATTTTTTACCATCGACAATCACTTTCGGCCACTACACTGCCCATGACTATTAATCACCTCTCATCAGTGACAACTGCTTTCGGCCACTATCTCTCGCAGCTGACAAACACTTCCAGTCATGATTTCTAACCGTTGAGAATTACTTATCACAACCACTTTCTTTTACTTGTTTTCGAAATAAAATTTTAAAATTTTCATATACCAAGCATGTTTTTTAATTTCAATTTTATTCAAAATAAACATAAATATGTTTTCTGTAAATTAAAAATAATAAACTATGAACGTTATCAAACGTTAGTGTATGCTAAAAATGGATTATTTTAAAACGGGTTTATTACACTTTTTACCCTTGAATTAGCGCCAAATTGTCTATTAAGGCTTGATTTTGGTATAGGTTTTTTCTTTTCTTTTTTTTCCCCCTTTTTTTGCTTTTTACAAAAAGACTTATAAAAAAATAAAGAGGTGATATGACTTAAATAAGTCAATAAGCTGCTTATTTTTTTTTGTGTACCCAAAACAAGCCTAGTCCCTAAAATATATAAATCAAAATCTATTTAATTATTAAACTATTACTGAATTTATTAAGGTTCTAATGTTTTTAATTCAAGTTCCTGACATAATTACAAAATAAAATATAAATCGAGAAGTATTACAAATTAGTAAAAGATCCTACCTAATTCAAATTTTATTTAAAAAAACCTTAAAATTTTATTATATCTTCGACAATGGCTATTACATTGCATTTATCTAGTATTATATGCCGAATTTTGTTTACAATTTCTAATTGATTATTTTTAAGTTTTTCGTTAGACTTCGTTTGGAAACATACTATTTTAGTAATTTTTTAATTTTTTTTGTTAAAATATGAGGTAAAAAAATTAATATGTTTGGATTGAATTTTACGAAAAGATGTGCAAAAAGTAGAGAGAAAAGAAAATCTTTGACTTTTTTTTAGTATAGATTATCGATTTTTTAGTGATTTTTTGACTTTTAGACTAAAATAGTGAGTTACCAATTAATGTAGTAGTTTGTTCTATTATTATTTATAGTGAAGTGTTATTACTTAAATTATTTGATTATACTTCTTTAATATATCTAATACTTATATAATTTTATTGGTAAGGTTGAGAAACTAAATTCTGATATTAGTTTTAAACACAGAGCGAAAACAAAACACTTTTAAAACAAAATATAAATTTAAGATTTTTTTAATAAAATCTTAATTAAAAGTATGGTGTTCTTAATAATTTAAAATACTTATAGATTTGCATTTTATTTGTTTAATTCTTTCAGAGACTAAAATACTGATAATTTAGGAACTAAATAAATTTTGAATTATATATACTTTAAGAACTTAATAGACTCAATCGATAATTTAGGAATTAAATAAATAATTTGACAATAATTTAAGAGTATAAAGCATAATAAACCCTTTTAAAACTAATAAAATTTAAAAGCAATTTTCAAAGATAATTCACCAAACATGTACACATGTATATTTTGATAATTTTATGACAATTATCATTACTTTATAAAACTGTAAAGTGCTTGCCTATGGCCTCAACAACAAATGAAGTTCAAACTCTGTTTGGATCTTAGTTTTGTAAAATTATTTGAAGGGTTACTAAAATAATTACTAAAATAGTTTTGTAAAACTGTAAAGTGCTTGCCTATGGCCTCAACAACAAATGAAGTTCAAACTCTGTTTGGATCTTAGTTTTGTAAAATTATTTGAAAGGTTACTAAAATAATTACTAAAATAGTTTTGTAAAACTGTAAAGTGCTTGCCTATGGCCTCAACAACAAATGAAGTTCAAACTCTGTTTGGATCTTAGTTTTGTAAAATTATTTGAAAGGTTACTAAAATAATTACTAAAATAGTTTTGTAAAACTGTAAAGTGCTTGCCTATGGCCTCAACAACAAATGAAGTTCAAACTCTGTTTGGATCTTAGTTTTGTAAAATTATTTGAAAGGTTACTAAAATAATTACTAAAATAGTTTTGTAAAACTGTAAAGTGCTTGCCTATGGCCTCAACAACAAATGAAGTTCAAACTCTGTTTGGATCTTAGTTTTGTAAAATTATTTGAAAGGTTACTAAAATAATTACTAAAATAGTTTTGTAAAACTGTAAAGTGCTTGCCTATGGCCTCAACAACAAATGAAGTTCAAACTCTGTTTGGATCTTAGTTTTGTAAAATTATTTGAAAGGTTACTAAAATAATTACTAAAATAGTTTTGTAAAACTGTAAAGTGCTTGCCTATGGCCTCAACAACAAATGAAGTTCAAACTCTGTTTGGATCTTAGTTTTGTAAAATTATTTGAAAGGTTACTAAAATAATTACTAAAATAGTTTTGTAAAACTGTAAAGTGCTTGCCTATGGCCTCAACAACAAATGAAGTTCAAACTCTGTTTGGATCTTAGTTTTGTAAAATTATTTGAAAGGTTACTAAAATAATTACTAAAATAGTTTTGTAAAACTGTAAAGTGCTTGCCTATGGCCTCAACAACATATTAATTTTTTTAACCTCATATTCTAACAAAAAAATCAAAAAGTTACTAAAATAACCTGTTTCCAAACGAAACCTAAGATCCAAACACAGCTGTAACATGTCAAATATAATTCCACATAGTAATTCCACGTCCATATTCATGTCTAAAACTCGCTGCTGGCCTTGTGATCTAATAGCATGGGTGCACCCCTTAGGTACTTGCAAGAGTGAAGTTGGGGTTCAACTCCTTTGAGGTGCTAATGATCGAAATAAATACATTTATTGACTTTTTACAAAAAAATATACAGAAAATTAAAAATATAATATAACCCAAATAAATGTACTTATTTAAAAAATGTCAAACTTACTTTTAACAATTGATTTTGCCGATAAAAATAAAAAATAAAAAATAAAAAATAAAAAATAAAAGTTGGTTAAAACTCTCGTGGGTTTTAGCAAAAGATCACCACAATTACACAATACCAATGGTGAAGCAGTAGATCCACTAATAAATAAATTTAGAAGCCATTTCAGGTACAAATATTCAGCCACATACATTTCATGTTTTACATTATTAGTAATTGGCTGCATTAGCTCCCAATTAATAATACCCAACAAGAATATCGAAGGGGGACATTAAAAAAATGGACATAAAAAAAATTAAAAAAAAAAGAGCCTATAAATGCAGGTAGTGTCTATGGTATCAACTACATCAGAATAACAAAAGTAAAAGGAAGGAAAGAAACAGTAAAAACATCACTTAACATTCTACAGAATGAAATGAATTTACCGTATTGCCCTCGGGACATGCTTCTTAGACCCAGAGACCAGGAGAGAGAATGTGAATGGTGAAGCGAGGCAAAGAGACTCTGTTTTCTTATTCTGAATCCCTGAGGCTCTCGCTTGTCAACCATACTTTCTTTTGGATCACCAAGACGAATTCGTCGCCATCCCCGTCCGGATCTGACGACGAATCAGCTGTTGCCATGGCTTCCCAATGCAATGCTGGTAAATACTTCTTTACAAATTCTATAACGGGTTGTTTATCCCGGATGATGATGAATCCAGTTGGCCTGAGCATACGATCCATCTCAAGCAGCAGATCCTCAGCACTGCAACCCTTCCTCTCAATGTCAGAAAGTATAGTCCAAGCATGAAGGAGATCATAAGTCCGGGGGTATGTTGAGAAGGCTTCACACCTATAGGCAAGTCATCAAGCAAATAGTGCTTCAGAGTCTTACCACATTCAAACTTCAATAAGAGTTCCATGAAGAAAAATAACTTTACTATATTTTTGGTGAAGTTATCTTGAAGATAAAAAATGACAATCAATGATGGAAACACAAACCAAACACAAAACCGGATGCAAAAAGCACATGAATGGACAACATTTGTTTGTGAGGTCCACTTTTGAATTATTAGTTCATGCAATTATTATTGATTAATTGACCATTTTCTAAATTGAACTTTCAGTCCATACATGCACCAACGGCACATAATATAGCTTTCCCGTTCCATGAATGCTAAAAAAAATCATTGACAATAGTTAAGCACTGAAAATCAATATTTGGGTCCATGAGGACTATTTTGGTGACCAGCAGGCAAAATATGATGCTACAGAATGAAAGAAAATTGTGTCAGGGTTCGTAATAAACATGATAAATTCTCAACTAGGACATTTCATACCAATTATGAACTGTGCCGATGAGACCTCTGTCATATACTATCTTAAGTGTGTTGGGTCCATCTTCAGGGACAACATTCATCACCCAGACATCCTTTTCCTTCAAAGCAGCTCCAAATGACCCTAGATTTGCTTTCATGTCCATCAAATTCCTCAGAGTGTCAGATGTTATCTTTGGACTCAAGAGATTCCAATAATTCTCAACCCTCCGCCGCCAAAGTTCCTGCATTACACCAGCAACAATTAAGGTGATAATCACATGTTTTCTGTTCTCCATCGCATGTCCATATTCACAGGCAAACAGCAAAATTACAGACAAAATAAACAGATGAGAGTATGCATCAAATTACCACGTCCTTTTCAAACATTTCACTTGAATAGCCAAAATCAGCAAGACGAGGAGGAGGAGAAGTTAATCGTTGTGGCCAAGGAGCCAGTCCACTTCCCCCGGTTCTGTGGTCATCTGACAAGAGAATGAAAATATTAGACATGGTTTCAAGCTCCAAACCCTGTATTTTTGTCATCTAGTCTGAAAAGTCCTTAAATTTCCAAAGGTCTTGGTATAACCTAGTTTGAACTCTCCCATTTTCTACAAAATACTCCCAGTTGATTATAGCAACATCTATTCCCATTTGGTGTTGTTTTCAGAAAAATCAACCTTAGCCAAGCACAATATAGAATGAAAACTATATATCTCTACAAAGATAGCGAAGTTGATGAAGTAAAAAAAAAATTACAACATGAGTAACAAAAAAAAAGAAAAAAAGAAAAGAAAAAAAA